AGGGAGAAGCAGACTCCCCACTGAGCCTGACGCGGGGCTTGATCCCGGGACTCCGGGATCATGACCTGAGCCAAAGTCAGGCGTCTAACCGACTGAGCCACCCAGACACTCCACAGCTTTCTATTCCTAGAATGCCTTTTAGAGAATCTTTTCCACTGACACCCCCACCACTACCCCATTGCCTTCTCCTAGACAGGCTGAATGTGGATGATGGAATTAAAGGTCCAAGGACCATTTTGGCCATCTCCTAAGAAGCCCTGCTTTAGACTGTTGGGGGACTTCTCACCTTGTCACCCCTTGTTCTCCACTCTGTGGCTTTAGATGAAATTCCCAGACACAGATGAAATCCTGCTTCATATCCAGTTACACCTGTCAACCCCATCCCCTGCTAATGGTAAAAATTTGAAGATGCAGAATGTTCAGATGTCTAAGATATAATAAATGTTCTAATATTCTGCTTTTCATACTGGAGAGTGTGGATAGAAGACACAGAAGTCACAGCATACCTATGCTGAACATCCATTTTCATGTTAACACACACATGAATGTGTTATGGAATAAAATGCAAAATTTTGAGGGGGGAAAAAACCAGTAGGACCTTTCAAACAAGTTATTGAACTCACTATCAGCTACGTTATCTATAGACTCTAGGGGTGGTACATGGAAACATTTGAGAATTTTCTGAGTGAATTATTTTGTGGGATAGTTGGATCCTGCAAAAATTGGAGTTACCTTTCTGGAAGTCCTCAGGAATGCTGCTGAAGTAAATGGAGAAACACTGCAGAGAAATTAGGTCACCCTGACTGTTTCACAAACAGCTGAGAGAAGCTTCATAAACCTCTCTTTATACTAAGAAGGGAGAAGGGGAATTCAGCAGGACTTCTGGTTACTCTAAAAAAAAAAAAAAAAAAAAAAAAAGGCAGGTCTGGATCTGTAGATCAAGGGCCAAATACCAGCAGAAGTCTTGTCCACGTATGGTTTAGTGTTTGTTCTTTTGAAGACTGCTTGAGCTACATTTGCTATTTCCATCGGCCTTGTAGGCTGAGCTGCCTCTAACATCCAGCAAACAAACAAACAAACAAACAAAAACAACTGGAAACAAAAGCACCAAGTCCTGGGAGGAGCAAAGAAGGGGAGAGCTGTGAAAGCTGGTCTCTTCACTCCACCACAGGCTTTGGAAGACTCCTTAGATGGTGTAGATTAAAGGAGAAAAGGGAATCAGGCAGAATTAAAGGTGGTGGCTGAGGCCTGAAGAGAAATCTTAGAAGTCTAACAGTTGGAAAACCTTACGGTTCCCTAGCACAAAACAAAACAGTCTCCAAACAATTTAAGACCTCTATTGAGCAATTTGACTGCACTGGTAGGGAACATCTCATTTCAAATTTAACTTTCAATTTCCCCAAGAACTCATAGCTTTATGATGTACCTGATTTTCCTTCTAACACTATTCAGAAATGTGAATCAAGTTGCACCTACAATTTTAACACAGTGCTTACCTTTCTTAAGAATCTTCTTCACTTTCACATAGTTCCCTTGCTTGACATACTCATGAAGCTGAGCTTCCAAGGAGTCATTTCTTAAGGAACCAAGCTGAACGGGACAGGGAACTGGAAGATGAACAGCCCGAGACATCCTGTTTCAAAAGAAACCAACATGCTTATTTTAACTCAATCAGAAATGCACTGACGTAACCTAGATTCTTTCACATTTCTTTCACTTCTTGTCCACTTTCATTTATAATGAACATGATTAGGGGAACAATTAATGAAACTCTACAAGATTTTTTTTAAAGATTTTATTTATTCATTTGAGAGAGAGAGAGAGCATGAGTGGGGCAGAGAGGCAGAGGGAGAGGGAGAAGCAGACTCCCTGCTGAGCAGGGAGCCCAATGTGGGACTTGATCCCAGGACCCTGAGACCATGACCCGAGCCAAAGGCAGATACTTAACCGACTGAGCCACCAGGCACCCAAAACTCTACAAGATTGTTTATTCTCAATATTACTGGTGAAACTGAAAAACTGAATATATTTAGCACTAATTCCTAGGACTAAAAAGTGATGGCTACTGGGAAGTAAAATTAGAAATATACATATGTTTGGGGCGCCCGGGTGGCTCAGTCGTTAAGCGTCTGCCTTCGGCTCAGGTCATGGTCCCAGGGTCCTGAGATCGAGCCCCACATTGGGCTTTCTGCTCAGTGGGAAGCCTGCCTCTCCCTCTCCCACTCCCCCTGCTTGTGTTTCCTCTCTCACTGTGTGTCTCTCTGTCAAATAAAATCTTAAAAAAATATATATACATGTTTGTTTTATCATTAAGAAAACTAGGAGCCTATTAACTTTGAAAGGTTAGTACATAAATGCAGTCACTATGTGGGGATGTAGAGAGTATAATGTAGTGGGTTAGGTTCACAGTTCAGACTCTGGTCCTGGCCCTGTCACCTCCTTAACTGCGACCTTGGAGAAATTATTTAACCTTGATAGGCCTCAATTTCTTCATCAGTAAATGGAGATAATAATAACCAGAGGGTTGCTGAGAGGCTTAAATGAACTAGTATGTGTAAAGTGCTTGGAACTGTGCCCAGCACCAAGCCCTGTATAGTTGTTAGCTGTTAGTATGCACAATAAAATCCATGCAGAGAAATTTTAACTTTCCACATGTGGCATCCACACGTGGCCATTACATACAATCAAATGTTTGTGGTATACCCACCATGTGTCCTCAAACATGACAGGTACTATGTAAGACACCTAAAATTGGATCCCTGTGATCACAGTGCTTGGTATAGCAGGGCAGACACGAGGTACTATGTTGGTGCTCCACAGACAGGGGAGAAGAGAGGGAAGCCCCATCCACATGAATCAACAAACATGCATATCAGGGGCATAACTGTTACATGGAGAGAAGGTGTGAAAAGAGGTGAAGAGAAAGAAAAAGCCAGGAAGGTTAACACATTTGGTGGGTCTTCATCAGCCAGGAAGCTTATGTTTGAATTTCTTTCCTTTTTAAGGATGAATAATATTCCTTTGTACGTATATACCACATTTTGCTTATTTATTTATCCACCAGTGGACACTTGGGTTGATTCTACCATTGACCATTGTAAATAACACTGCTGTAGACATTTTAGTGTACAGTATCTCTTCAAATCCCTGTTTTCAATTCTTTTGGGTATATACCCAAGAAGTAGGATTACTGGATCACACGGTAATTCTTTTTGCACACTTCATGTCCAGTGCAGAACCCGATGTGGGGCTTGATCTCACAACCCTGAGATCATGACCTGAGCCGAAACCAAGATTTGGATGCTTAACTGACTGAGCCACCCAGGCGTCCCTCACATGGTAATTCTATGTTTAATTTTTTTGAGGAAATGCCATACTGTTTTCTATACTGGCTACACCATTTTACATTCCCACCACAAGTGCATAAGAGTTCCAGTTTTTCCAGATCCTCACCAACACTCGTTATTTCCAGTCCCCCCCCCTTTCTTTTTAAGACTTACTTATTTGGGAGAGAGAGGGAGAACCGGCAGGAGGGGCAGAGGGAGGAGAGAGAATCTCAAGGCTAGATCCCATGACCCGAGATCATGACCCGAGCTTTAACCAAGAGTGGACACTCAACCCACTGCACCACGCAGGTGTCCCTGTTTTTTCCCTTAATAATAGCCATCTTAATGGTTCCTGATCTTTTTAAAGTTTTTATTTAATTGCATTTGCACAAATATATAACTTTTTTTTTTAAGATTTTATTTATTTGACAGAGACAGAGATAGCGAGAGCAGGAACACAAGCAGGGGGAGTGGGAGAGGGAGAAGCAGGCTTCCCCCTGAGGAGGGAGCCTGACGTGGGACCCGATCCCAGGACTCTGGGATCATGACCTGAGCCGAAGGCAGACACTTAACGACTGAGCCACCCAGGCGCCCATAACTATATTCTTGATATGGAAAGTTCAAATAATGGTGTGCCTGGGTGGCTCAGCTGGTTAAGCATCTGCCTTTGGCTCAGGTCGTGATCTTAGGGTCCTGGGATAGAGCCCTGCTCAGTGGGGAGTCTGCTTCTCCCTCTTCTTTACCCCTCCCCCTGGCTTGTGCAAATAACTACAATCTTAAAAAAAAAAAAAGTTCAAATAAAACACATAAAACCCTGAGACCCATTTCATAGGGATGTGTCATAGGATTATTTTTTCCTATGGCTCCAGAATACACACATCCCTTGAGGACTGATGTGCTCATTATTTACACACTAACATTCACTCCCTTAGTATTTCTAGTCCTACTTCCTTCTTTTTTTTCCAGTAACCATCAGAACTTATTCTAAGAAACTAGTCTCTAGGGAGTAGTGGGCCTTAAAATGTTACCCAAGGTTTGCAATCAACACGGCAGGAACATGGTCAGTTTCTTTTGTTAAGCCACTGCCATCGGCTCAAGTCATGATCCTGGAGTCCGGGGATTGAGTCCTGTCTGCTTCTCCCCCCGACCCTCTCCCGCCTCATGTGCGCGCTCTCTCTCTCTCAGATAAACAATATTTAAAAAAAGTTTTATGTGAAAGAGAGAGCACAAGCAGGGAGAAAGAGAAAATCCGACTCCCCACTGAGCAGGGGCGCTAGATCTCGGGACCCCTAGATAATCATTGCAGCCGTTTCCTCTACTAAGTCACCCAGGCGCTTTTAAGTAAAAATTTTATAACGATTCTAGCTTTCTCAATGACTTGACCTTTGCACCTTCCCCGAAGAACTCAGACCTTGCTCCTTTCGGGGTAAATACAACAGCCCAGGTTTGCTTAGGTGGTTCGGTCATAAGCGTGCGTCTGCGTTGTGCTCGGCCCTGGCCGCCCTGCCGCCCTGCCGCCCTGCCGCCCTGCCGCCCTGCTCTCACTCCCACTCCCCCGTGCCGCTACTTTAGTCAAATATACAAAGTTTTAAAAAGACCAATACCCCCCCACAACGAAATTTATCACGATTAAAAACTACTGACTGATAAAACCCATACATGTAAAAGCTTCAGTTCTTTTTTTAAAAACATTTGCCAGGGGAAAGCGCGAACGCAGTCCCCCACTACCACAAATTATGCAGTCGAGTTTCCCACATTTGGGGAAATCGCAGGGGTCAGCACATCCGGAGTGCAATGGATGAGCCTCGCCCTGGGAAAACCACCTTCGTGATCATGGTATCTCCCCTGCCAGGTAAGTATGAATTGTGAATGCTGTCTGGCACTCTACCGTCGTCCTCAACACACTATACAGTCATGGTCAATTACATTCCGAGTTCTTTAAGCCTTCGGTTCCAAACTGCAAAGTTATTCACATGACACTGACCAGAGCACACCAGTGGATATGTAGTGGAAACTCTGCCTCGCGAAGAATTAACTCGAACACGCAGTCACCGCGCCCTTCATCTCCATATGCCCGCCTCTTGTCACTTGTCACTCTTGACGTCACTTCGCTTGTTGGAGAAACGGATAAATTCGTTCTAGCTATGCTTCGCAACGATTTAAAAGACAGTCACCGACAGGTGTAGCTGGAGGGAGCGGGGTTTAAAATTCTTTGCCTTCTCCGGCGGTACGCAAAAGTTCCGGCGTGCATTTGTTACGAGTCTGAATTCTGCGCTACAGGGCAGGGCAATTTGGGAGGCGGTGGCCTGCAGCTGGCGGAGGGCAAGACAGCACAGTCTGTTACGCTGGTCTGAATCACTGTTCCTCTCTGGGACTAGGCATACCCTCAGTCTCTCTCAGCCTCCATTTCCCTAAGTTGTAAAGAAAAAATACTGCCCGCCTACCTCACAAGGTTTCTGTGAGGACGGAATAAGGCTGCAGGTGAAATGCTGCCTCGAGCCCCTCCACCCTCACCCAGCCACGCTCCAGGACAGGGGCTTTGTGTAATTGGGAAATCAAAGCTGGCTTCGCCGACATTCGAGTCTGCAGTTTTCGGCACAAAGGGAAGGGGCATCCGGCCTGGATTTGGTAACAAACCGAGTGCCCCTCCCTTCTTTTTAGACAACAGAAACAGAAGACACTTTAGGGTTGTTTTGTTTTTGTTTTTTTCCCCCTTTCTGCCCTTGCTGGCTAGGTGCTCTAGGCAAAACAACGATGTTTGCAGGAACTGTGTACCAAAGGCTTTGATCGTGTAGAGGCAAAATTTTACCTCTGCCCTGTTAGCATGTCTGGCTGGGCATGAGAATTAAATTGGCATCCACAGTTTAACAGGATAAAAGCATAAAAAATTTAACATAAATTTACCTAACACAGAAGCTCTTAAAAGGAAATGAAGACCCAAAGAAATGGCAAAACTAAATGCTTTCATATTAGGTTGACCAAAGAGAGACAATTGTGTTTTGTTTTGTTTATTTTGAGGCAATTGTGGAAAAGTAACATATATGGGGGCTTTACATAGACATGAATTCTTTTTAACGAGGTGTGTACAAAATTCTCTCAGTTTTGACTCCCTTTCTCTGGGAACATTTCTTTTCCCCTGGTATAGGGAGAACATCTTTTACATGGGAGTTTTATCTCCTGATTTCAGGAAGAAAGGGGTAGATCAGAACCTACCCTTACATTTGCTGTTTTTCAAGTGCTTTTAGCTCAAAAGAATCCTTGTGCCAAAGTGGCATATTTGGGGGTGGCATATTCTGCTACCTTTCAACGGTATTTCCCTCTTAGAACATATGATTTTTAAAGTCATCTCTGAGCACAACGTGGGGCTTGAACTCACAACCCCAAAATCACAGTCTCATGCTCTACCAACTGAGCCAGCCAGGCACCCCAGAACATGTGATTTTTAAAAAAGCTTTGCTTTAGGGTGTCTGGTGGCTCAGTCGGTTAAGTGTCTGCCCTGGGCTCTGGTTGTGATCCCATGGGATTGAGTCCCGTGTCTGGCTCCCTGCTCAGCAGGGAATCTGCTTCTCCCTCTCCCTCTTCCCCTCTACCCTGCTTGTTCTCTCTCTCGCTCTCTCAAATAAATAAATAAATACAATCTTTAAAGAAAAAAAAAGCCTTGCTTTATTTACATCTTTGAGGGCATTTATGTCCCTTACAGATAATTTCGAAAAGGCAGAAAAGTATTTTTAAAACATTAAACCACATCCTGCTATACAATTACCACTGTTAACACTCTGATATTAAACATGGTAATTTCAATATGAATATATATTTTAATAGGATTATACTTCACATGCTGCTTTGTTTTCCACTCTTTTTGCTATATACATTGGGTCACAGATAACTGTATAATCAATATTCTATTGCTTCCAGTTTACCACCACTGTTCATATATATGAACAGCCTTGTTGATATATCTTTGTAAGTAAGTGATGATTTCTTGGGGTTCTTTTTATTTATTTGCTTATTTAATTAAAAAAATGTTTTCAAGTAAACTGTACACCAATGTGGAGCTCAAACTCATGACCTCGAGATCAAGAGTCGCAGGCTCTACCAACTGAGCCTGCCAGGCATCCCTCTTGGGGTAATTTTTAGTAGTTTTCCCCTGTTACTTTACAGTCATCTTAAGAAGTGCCTTAAGTTATTGTGGGAGGGGAGGATAGAGGTGACATATGATACATATTTTTAAGTTCTTTAAAAACAACTTTTCCCTGATTTCTTTAATCTTTCAAAGTCTAGATCTCTAATTTTAGGGCTCATAGTTAATTATAAATATAATTTCAAGTTTGTTATGAGCGGAAAGTCTAAATTGTATAATGTAGCATGCCATAAAAGCAGCATACAAAATTGAATATATACTATAATTAAACAATATTTCTAAACAATATTTAAGGGACTTAAGGGAAATACACCAAAATGCAAACTAACATAATTATGTTAGTGTCAACAAAGAACTCTGAACTGTGGACTAATGTTTTTTCCTCTAAATGTCATGTAACACAACTACAATATTACTTGTATTAATAAAAAAAAGTTAACTCTAATTATATACATCTAGTACCAAAAAATGTTCATGCTTTTGACCTAGAAATTTCTTTTAAATTACCTAAAGGAAGTAATTCTAGAGAATGACAATGTCCTATGTACAAAGGTGTTCATCATAGATTTACTTACAATTGCAAAAACCAAAATCACCCAAAAACCTTAGCTATCAAAACAATAGGGAAATGAAGTATTAAGGAAACATAATAGTACATAAGAAGAACATATATAATATATAACAAGAATAACATGAAAAAAATTTATATATAAGGTTCAGAGAAAAAGAGGATATGAAATGATATGTATACTATGACTACAATTTGTAAAACTGTGTATCCTTAAGGAAAATTACTAGAAGGAAATGCACTTAGAGGACCTAAATTTTACTGGTTGTGAGATACAGGTTACAGAATTTTAATAGTATTGTTAGACTGTTTTTTCTTCATAAGAAGAAGACCAAATCCTGGTTGAACCACCATGGGGTATCTTGCATAGTATTTAAAGTTTTGAACACTGGGTTTAGCATTAAATAGTTTTAGGTTCAAATTGTAATTTCACCATATTTTAGCTATTAGTGCTTTAAATGTTTTTTTTTAAGATTTTATTTATTTATTTGAGAGAGAGAGAATGAGAGATAGAGAGCACGAAAGGGAAGAGGGTCAGAGGGAGAAGCAGACTCCCTGCTGAGCAGGGAGCCCGGGACTCAATCCCGGGACTCCAGGATCATGACCTGAGCCGAAGGCAGTCGCTTAACCAACTGAGCCACCCAGGCGCCCTGTTAGTGCTTTAATATACCGTCTAGGAATGATAATTATCAGAGTTAATTTATACATACATAGAGAATAAAACAACCAATTATAACAACCAACTAAATCAAAGGCCCCAAATAAGCCAAGATGGAGAAACACAACCTCTCCTTCAGTACAGTGAATATCGGGAGAGTTCCCAAATACCTGGGGAAGGGCATTACTGGCACATCTACCAGTCTCTCTCAGATCATGGCTGCCCCATCAACTCAGATATTCAACAGACATGCCCCTCAGTCAGTGAGTCTCAGCCCCATCTCTGAATTTTCCACCCATTCCTTAGCCCATGGGGATCAGGGAAGGACTGATACGTAGAAATATAATGAGGGCAGCATGTATACTCAATTTTTATTTTTATTTATTTATTTGTATATTCAATTTTTAAAAGCTGAGTTTTTAAGTTCATAAGGCAGGTGTGACTGTCAAGAAGGTGTCCATAGTACCAAGAAACTGAATCTAATCCACTACCAGGAAAGCATGAGTAACTCTCTACAGCCACTCTACAAGCACCCTGGGTTGCAGACAGCTGAACCTGTTCACTCCTGACACACATAGGCCCTGTCTCTACAATATAAACCACAGTTATGCTATTTAGACATTTGCTAGATAACCTCATCCACACAGTGTGACCCAGCCCACTTCAGTTATATAATATCATTTCATTATTGAACTACCTTAATTTCATTCCAGGAGTTTTGATTTCACAGAAGGAAGGTAAAATTTTGGCTGTTTTCATGGTATCCATGAATGCCAGGCTGGCCACAGCCCTGAGACCTCTAGAACTATTTGTCCCCCCCAGATTTGATTTCACAGGTACTCAGACTTTTTGCTATTCTGAGGGCCATATTGTCTACTCTAGTCTCTTCGGCATTCACCAAGTATTTTTTAATTTCTTTGAGTGCTGCTAATGATTAAAAAAACAAAACAAGGGCGCCTGGGTGGCTCAGATGGTTAAACATCTGCCTTCAGCTCAGGTCATGATTCCTGGGATCGAGTCCCACATCGGACTCCCTGCTCCTTGGGAGCCTATTCTCCCTCTGCTTCTCTCTCTCTCCCTCTCTCTCTCTGTCTCTCATGAATAAATAAATAAAATCTTTAAAAAAATAAATAAAAAAACAAAACAAAAACTTATTCTCAAGTCATTAGTTATATGTATGTAGTGCACACTTCTCACAGCCACCTAAACTTCTAAGATGGCAGCCACTAGCTTAAGCACTAAGAGAAATAATGTAGAGATAGATTCTGCCTACAATAATAATACATTATATGTTTAAAAAAAAAAGATAGCAGGAGGGGAAGAATGAAGGGGGGGAAATCGGAGGGGGAGATGAACCATGAGAGACGATGGACTCGGAAAAACAAACTGAGGGTTCTAGAGGGGAGGGGGGGTGGGAGGATGGGTTAGCCTGGTGACGGGTATTAAAGAGGGCACGTTCTGCATGGAGCACTGGGTGTTATATGCAAACAATGAATCATGAACACTACATCAAAAACTAATGATGTAATGTATGGTGATCATAATAAAAATAAAAAAGAATTAAAAATTAAAAAAAAATAAAGATCACAACCTGTGGGGAAAACAGACCTGCCTGCCAGAACTATACAAAAAGTGGTGAGAACTAATAAAAAAGTCAGGTTCAGTCAGGACCACCTAATGATTTTGAAGGGCCTACACACTTTTTCCTTCGTGGGCCCCTTCCCCCATTAAAAAAATAAAAACTAATAATAAAAAATAATAAATAAAATTATGTGACTGCACTGATAACATAAATATATTATTATATGACATTTCCTTTTTTTTTTTTTTAAGTAAACTCTACTCCCAACGTGGGGCTCTGAACTCATGAATCCAACATCAAGAGTTGCATACTCTGTTGCTGAGCCAGCCAAGCACCCCCCTATGTGACATTCTCTTTTTTCTTTTCTTTTTTAAAGATTTTACTTGAGAGACCACAAGAGAGAAAGAGAGAGCACGAGCAGGGAGGGGGAGCAGCAAGACTCCCTGGACTCCTGGCTTGATCCCAGGACCCTGAGATCATGACCTGAGCCAAAGGCAGACCCGTAACCGACTGAGCCACCCACCCAGGCAGCCCTATGACATTTTCTTCCACCGAAAAATTATTTTTTCTTTGATTTTAAAAAAGTGCTTGGGGCACCTGGGTGGCTCAATCGTTAAGCGTCTGCCTTCAGCTCAGGTTGTGATCCCAGGGTCCTGGGATCGAGCCTCACACCGGGCTCCCGGCTCCGCGGGGAAGCCAGCTTCTTCCCTCTCCTACTCCCTCTGCTTGTGTTCCCTCTCTCACTATGTCTCTCTCTGTCACATAAATAAAAAAAAGGGGGTTTAGGCACCCTGCCTACAGTACTTAAATGTTTAAATCAATCCTGAATTCAGTGGTGGTTTGCGGGGACACCAAGGAGCTTTACAAGAGAAAATTGAATATTTAAGTAATGCACTCTTCGACATAGCCCAAAGATGGAGCAAAGCCTTCCTGGAATTTTAAGAGAGAAGCACCAACCAGCAAACATAAAACCACTACACAAGAAACAATTTAAGCAAAATTCTTTTTTTTTTTTTAAATATTTTATTTATTTATTTGAGAGAGAGAGAGAATGAGAGATAGAAATTACGAGAGGGAAGAGGGCCAGAGGGAGAAGCAGACTCCCCGCCGAGCAGGGAGCCCGATGTGGGACTCGATCCTGGGACTCCAGGATCATGACCTGAGCCGAAGGCAGTCGCTTAACCAACTGAGCCACCCAGGCGCCCTAAGCAAAATTCTTATCACAACACAACTGTCAAAGTACAAAACACCATCAACGGAAAAGCCAACGAGAAAAAAACTGAAAGACACAACGTCAAACCGCCTACTTTTGGTGAAACGCGCTCACATAGGGGGAAAGCGCGAACGCAGTCCCCCACTACCACAAATTATGCAGTCGAGTTCCCCACATTTGGGAAAATCGCAGGAGTCAGCACATCCCAAGTGCAATGGATAAGCCTCGCCCTGGGAAAACCACCTTCCTGATCATGGTATATCCCTTGCCAGGTAAGTATGAGTTAAAAGTTAACACAGCAACGCCCACTGCTGTGCACACCACTCTAAGGTTGGAGTCACTCCTGAAATAACTCTAATTGGCCTTTATCTACAAACAGCGACACTCAACACCAGATTTTCGTACTATGTATCTTACTCTTGGGAACAGCAGATAATCATACACATCTTTACAGGGAAACACTGTTCCCAAAAGGCCCTGAGTCTTAAATCTACATACTCCACCCCCCGGCATAACATCAAGCGCGCTCGGCCCGGCAGAGCCTGCAGCTGCGCCCCCTTGAGGCTGGCTTCGCAGACCAGTTCCTCCTCCCATTTGCCCCAACCTGTTTCCTGACAGAAATCCATCCCTCTCCCAACTTTTGGCATAGCTGAAGGTCTTCAGATCTCCCTGTGTAAAGTACTCTTCGGCGAACGAACACAAGTGAGCTATTAACCGCAAGCCAGTTTAGCTTCAGGCTTTCCAGGGATACTAATGCATCACACCAGTCCGGCACCATTTCCTCCTATTCCAGGAACTGGAGAAACAAGGGTGTCCAGGGGAAACTCCTGGCTGGCTACGTGTTAGCAGGGTGTATTGCAGAGCAAGGGTTTTGGAATCCAAGATCTTAACTGCAATTCAGCGTACACACTGCACGACTCTAGGTAAGCTTCCAGCCTCTGAATCTCTTCCTCAGTTTGTGCAGGAAGAACTATGCAGTCAGACCTCCACGCAGCTCAGGCCCCAGGCTTTGTCTCCTACTCCTCCCTGCCCATGGTCTGTTAATAACACCTAGCCCCTAAGAATGGACTGCTTTCCTTGAGAGCAGTCTAGCCTGTGCCTATATTGCTGACTTACTTTCTCTCTGCCTGGCATTCAGTTACCTCACCCACTAGACTGTGGGCCTCTAGAGCAGGGTTTTTCTTGTTTCTTTTAAAATAGTCAAGACAACACAACGTATAATTATAACATATATTATTTTACCAACTAATTTTATTCTCTCATTAAAAATATGTAGGAAGCATGATTTTAAATTTCTGCATCTCTGGAGCTCTCTGGAAAAGCTCAGATGAAAACTTAAAACATATACTGAAAAGAGAATGTATATATACATTCCAAAGGCTGAATGCCGAGACCTCCCTCTCATATTCCATTTGGTTTCCAGGACCCTAGCAACCAAGCCTTTACCTTCCAGGATACTGGAAGTTTCCTCTGAAGAATGTGATCACCATAAAACAAAGTCCCAAAAATGTCAGCCATGGGCTTTCAGAAAGACTACCATGCAGATTATTCTGCAGCGTGCCCAACACCTCTCCTTGGCCCTCAGAGCTTCCAATCAACTTGTTAATATAATTTTAAATTTCTGCATGACCGTCCATCTTATGAATGGCTCATTATTTATAAAATTGTTCCCCTGTTGCTGGACACTTAGGTTGCTTCAATTTTTCACTACACACATTCTGGGTAATGGGCAGAGATGGTATACTGAACACCTATAAATAATCAAGGAACACTGAACCACCAAGGATGACCAGACGTCGACAAAAGCCTCCAACATGAAAGCTAGTAGCTAAAACAACCAAAAGACAATTTGGAGGAAACAGGTTATGCAAAGGGAAGAAAACTAAAAACAAAAATAAAAACTATCATTAAAATAGATAGGGGTGCCTGGGTGGCTCAGATGGTTAAGCGTCTGCCTTCAGCTCAGGTCATGGTCCCAGGGTCCTGGGATCGAGCCCCATATCGGGCTCCCTGCTCAGCGGGGAGTCTGCTTCTCCCTCTGACCCTCCCCTCTCTCATGCTCTGAGAAAACAGAAGAGAAGGAAACATTTCCCAACGTCCCAACTGACACCAAGGATTTTCAGTGGTGCACCCAAGGGAAAGAGCCAACTTATTTTATGAACCAGCATTACTCTGATACCTAAACGAGATGAAGACCATGTAAGTACAGACTATTATCCATCATGGAAATAGATACAAAATTACTTTAGTTCCTTTAAAATTGCAAACCAAACCCAGCAATAAAGGAAAAGGGTAAAATGTAATGTGGGGCTTATCCTGGGAATACAAAGTTGGTTTAACATTAGAAAATCAAGCCATATAATTAATCATATCCACAGATTAAGAAGTAGTTGCAGAAAAAGTTAACAAAATTCAGCACCCATTTATGATTTTTAAAAAATGTTTCAAGGTATCAGTTTGATAAACAGTATCTATGAAAATCTATAGCTAATATACTTCATGGTAAAACTATCTTTCTTCCAGGGCGCCTGGGTGGCTCAGTTGGTTAGGCGACTGCCTTTGGCTCAGGTCATGATCCTGGAGTCCTGGGATTGAGTCCCACATCGGGCTCCCTGCTCAGCGGGGAGTCTGTTTCTCCCTCTGACCCTCTTCCCTCTCGTGCTCTCTATCTCTCATTCTCTCTCTCTCAAATAAATAAAAAAATCTTAAAAAAAAAACTATCTTTCTTCCAGATAAAAAGAACAAAACAAGAATGACTACTTTACCCACTTTTATTCAACACTATACTGGAGGTTCTTAGCTAGAGCTTACAGCAAGGAAAACAAAAACTCTTAGTTTGGAAAGAAAGAAGGAAAAATGTTTTTATTCACATATGACAGCAGTTTATGTAGAAAATCCTAAAGCATTTACCCCCCCCCCCGCAAAAAATACTAAAACTCATAATGGAATTTAGCAAAGTCACAGGATACAAGATTAATACATAAAAATCAATTGTATTTCAGGGCACCTGAGTGGTTCAGTTGTTAAGCATCTGACTTCGGCTCAGGTCATGATCCCAGAGTCCTGGGATCGAGCCCCACATCGGGCTCCCTGCTCCACGGGAAGCCAGCTTCTCCCTCTCCCACTCCCCCTGCTTGTGTTCCCTCTCTGTGTCTCTCTCTGTCAAATAAATAAATAAAATCTTAAAAATAAATAAATAAACTTAACAATATAGTTTATATTTTAAAAAATCAATTGTATTTCTTTTTTATTAAAGATTTTATTTATTTATTTGAGACAGAGCACAAGCAGGGGAGAGGGAGAAGCAGGCTCCCTGCCGAGCAAGGAGTGCAATACAGGGCTTGATCCCAGGACCCCGGAATCACGACCCGAGCCCAAGGCAGACGCTTAACTGACTGGGCCACCCAGGCACCCCCAAAATCAATTGTATTTCTGTGTACCAGCAACAAACACTTAGAAAATGAAATTTTTAAGTCAAAGACAAATCCCACATGATTTCACTTATATGTAGAATCTATAACAAAACAAAACTAGGATTCACCAATGTAGAGAACAAATTGATGGATGGTTGTCAGAGGGGAGGGGGGCAAGGGGTGTAATGGATGAAGGGGATTAAGAAGTACAAACTTCCAGCTATAAAATAAGTAAGTCATGGGGATGTAATGTACAGTATGGAGAATTTGGTCAATAATATATTAACTTTGTAAAGTGATAGATGGTAACTTCACTTACTGTGGTGACTTTTCCACAATGTATACAGATGTCCAATCACTATGTTGTACACCTGAAACTAATCTAATATTGTATGTCAGTTATACTTGAATAAGTAAAAGAAAATGAAATTTCAAAATACTATTTTGAAAGTGGCAAATACTTCACATTTTCCTACCACTCACATTTCTTCCTGTATTTTCTTCTATCACTCTACGTAGTCTACAATAGTATTTTTTTCAAAGATTTTATTTATTTGACAGAGAGAAAGGACATGAGCAGGAGGGAGGAACAAGGCGAGAGGGAGAAGCAGGCTCCCTGCCGAGCAGGGAGCTTGACATGGGGCTCAATCCCAGAGCCCTGAGAGCATGACCTGAGCCAAAGGCAGATGCTTAACTGACTGAGCCACCCAGGCGCCCCACAGTCTACAATATTATTAATAAATTACTTCTTTTTATGACTGGAAGGGGCAAAATCCTAACATTTTCTTTTAAAACCCCAAAGCCTTGCTAATATCCTTATCCTTCCAAGTGAGGAGCTAACAAGTAATAAAGAGATGTGATTTAAAATTATCAAGGTGGGGCGCCTGGGTGGCTCAGTCGGTTAACCCTCTGACTCTTGGTTTTGGGTCAGGTCATAATCTTGGTTTAGGGTCATGGGATGGAACCCTGCGCTCAGCAGGGAGTCTGCCTGAGTTTTTCTCCCCCTGCTTCTCCCCCCACTCGTGCGCACGCGCTCGCACTCTCTCAAATAAATCTTTAAATAAAATAAAATAACCAAGGGAACCGACTGAATAACAAAATTGTTCCACAAATAAAAGGATAGAGGGCGCCTGGGTGGCTCGGTTGGTTAGGCGACCGCCTTCGGCTCAGGTCATGATCCTGGAGTCGCGGAATGGAGTCCCGCATCCGGCTCCCTGCTCAGCGGGGAGTCTGCTTCTCCCTCTGACCCTCCCCGCTTTCATGTGCTCTCTCTCTCTCATTCTCGCTCCTCAAATAAATAAATAAAATCTTTAAAAAAAAAAATAAAAGGATAGAGGAAGGAAGGTACTGGGGTAGGGAATAGCCGAATCCTCAGTATAAACACCAGTACAAACATTATTTATTGAGGCAACTATGATGAAACAGCTAAACAAGTTTTACAAGTAGTACTCTGGGGGTCGCCTTCCTGGCTCAGTAGGTAGAGCATGCCAGTCTTGATTTGGGGTTGTGAGTTCAAGCCCCATGTTAGGCCTAGAGTTTACTTTTAAAAAAGGAAAAAAAAGTAGTGCTCTGGGGAAAGGAATGGGGCAGGGTGAGAAAGGGTGGATCAGGGAGGTGTTACTCAGGTTGAATCTTTCTGTATGATGCTTTTCACATGCATAATGTTACTTTAACAAAATTATTTGGGGGTAAAAATCAAGGTCTAGGAGAAAACATAAAATACTTTTCACTAGGAGAGATTATACCATAGTCCGGTTCCTCATTTTCGGGAAATTCTAACGATACAGCTCATGAGACATACCTGAAAAGAAACCCCTCTGAAATTGTAACTACTCAGTTAAGTGGTAAATAATAAACACCCACCCTT